TACAACAGCATGCAAGTGTTGAAAGAGAAAAAGGAAGGAAGTTGAAATGTGTTAGAGCTTATAATAGTGATGAATATAGAGATCCATTTGAAAAGTATTGTAAAATATATATAATCAAGCTTGAGAAAACTGTTCCAAAGACACCTCAATATAATGGAGTTGCAGAGATGATAATCATACTATAAATGACAGAATCAGGTGTACACTCTCTCATGCAAATTTATCAAAAGCCTTTTGGGGTGAAGCATTGACAACTATGGTGGATTTTGATCAATATTTCTCTTGTTCCATTTGATGGTTATGTTTTAAATAGAGTATGAACAATAAAATATGTCTCTTATGGATACTTTAGAGTGTTTAGTTGTAGAGCTTTTGTTCATATATTAACAGATGAAATATAAAAAATGTATGTTTGTAGGTTATATTCATGAAGAGTTTGGTTATAGATTGTGGGATCCAATTGACAAAAAAATTATCAGAAGTTGTGATGGTAGGAGTTACACTGATGTTATGCCTAAACCTCATAGTAGAAATTGTGTTGATGAGGGAGATATACAGGTAGATGATGAGAATGTAACTAATGATCAAGAACCTTATTATGATTAAAAAATTGAAGAGACTTCACCTAAGCCACTATTTGAACTTGAGTTAAGAAGATATACTAGTGAGTGTCAAGTTTATCAAAGATATCCTCCATATGAGTATGTGATTATCATTGATGATTGAAAGTCGAAATACTACTAAGAGGCCATTTTCAAATGTCGATAAAGAAAAATGGTTGAAGGCCATATAAGAAGAGATGAATTACTTGCATGAAAAACACATATTTGAGTTGGTAAAATTTCCTGAGGTACAAATAAATATTGGTTGTGAAAGATTTTAATTAAAGAAAAGGTATTGAATTTGAAGAATTTTTTTCCATGGGGTAAAGATGGCATCTAATTGAGTGTTGCTGGGAGTATTAGTTGGCTTGAATCTAAAGGTTGAATAGCTTGATGTGAAGACTGTTTTCCTTTGTGGTGATTTGGAAGAAGAGGTATATATGGAGCAATCTGAGGGCTTCAATTTCAAGGTAAATAAGAGCTTGTTTGTAGATTGAAGAAAAGTTTGTATGACTTCAAGCAAGCTCCACGACAATGGTACGAAAAGTTTGATTCTTTCATGGAAATAAATTTTTATGGTAAAAACAATGTTGATCATTTTGTGTTTGTGAAGAAATTCTCTAATGGTGATTATATTATTCTCTTGTTATATGTATATTACATGTTAATTATTTATCATGATACTAATAAAATTCAAAGCTTAAAGAAATATTTAAGTAAGTTATTTGCAATTAAGGACTTGGGTCCTGCACAACAAATCCTTGGCATGAGAATTTATCGTGACAGGAAGAAAATTAAATTATGGTTGTCTGAACATAATTACATTAAAAAGGTGTTAGAGAGGTTTAATATGAGCAACTCAAAACCTGTGACTACTCCACTTGCTAGTCATTTGAAATTGAATTGTGAACAATGTCCTACAAGTAAAGAAGACAAAGAAGATATGAAGAATGTTTCTTTTGCATATGCAATTGTTAGTTTGATGTATGTTATGTGATAACCCACATTTTATGAGTTATTACATACCTTAATCTTCTTTTATTACTAGTTAAATTGCTTTTTAGTTGTTGCTTTAGTTCATTTTAGTTATTTTTATAGTAATTTTATTGGAGCACAATAAGTGCTCCCTTTAGTTTTTTTGATGTGTTTGTTGCTTGATTTAAGGTTAACTCTGTCGAGTTAAGGTAAGACTGTAGTGGACAGCGCTTGGGATCGCAAACTGAAGCAAAAAGATGAACTCTGTTAAAGGAGAAAAATTGAGAAAGCAATTGGGTTCTTAGGGAAAACATGGAAGGATTGATGTATTGGAGAGAATCTTTACTTTGCATTTGAATCAAATGGATAAGACCAATGGATGTTAGAAGACAAAAGAAGATACAATGGTACACCCACTACTCTGTGCGGTCTGTAAGAGAAAGATAGCATCGTCTGCAACCTGCTGTAACAGTCTGTCACAAGACACCTTGTCTCCTACAATTATTCCTTTGTACCTGATTCCTTGCACACTAAGCATAAGGAATGATGTGTAGGCGTTGATTTATGTAATGGGCTTGATTTGATTTCCTCATTTTTGACCCATGATCCAAGACACCACAAGGAACACCTAGTAAAGGCTTATAAATATACCTTGATGGAGATTGATAATGGATTTCAACATTTATTTTTCCAAGAGAAAATATGGAAGATAATAATGTAAGGATAATGGAGAGAAAAAAAACTTTCTTCTTCTCACCATTTCCTGTACCAGCTGTTGAGCCCTGACGCAATTGGAGTCACCCTTTACTGATTATCCATCTCAACAAGTCTTCAAGTTACTTTTAGGTTTACATTTTTTCATTATTTTAAGAATGTATCCTTTGAGAACCATGCATGTAGTTTGTACTCAACTCATCATGAGCTAAACCTTTCGTTTATTGAGCAATGAGATGTTAATGTTATGTTATTTTTATGTTAAGTGATGTGTTATTAGTACCTTATTTTATTATGTGATAACTTGCAAACAGATCTAATTATTTAAATGATCAACTTAGAAAAAAATAACATCTTGTTGTTGCGAGAGATCCAACAACAAGTGGATTTCATAATAAAAATAGTTTAGAATAGTAGGATAGAGATATTCACTTGATTAACTCACTTAAAGATAAGAAACTACAACTATAAAGGATTTCAGAATTCAAATAGACGTATTTTAGGCTTATAAGTGTGACTTAGAGATTTGTTCTCTTGCCTTATAATGCATGCTTTGATGTTGTAGAAATACACTTCTAGATCACTCTGACATTTTCTAACACGACACTACACATCATGAGCACATATTTACTTCACCAATATTAACAAACCATAACTCAACATACACTCTCTTGATATAGTCTCACTCTCATCTTACACTATTTAGATATGGTTTAAGAAGAAAACTGAACTTGTGACACTCATATTATATATATATATATATATATTGCTCATGCTTAATTTCAAAAGATAGTTTCTTGCAAAATCAATCTAAGTAACATTCACTCCCTAGTGTATGATATCCTTACTTTTTATCACTTGCTACTTTTAAGCATACATGTATACTTGCATGTGACACATTTTCAAGTAACATTATAGTACACACAAGACCATATATTGTTCATGTTATTGGTGTTTTTAGTTGGTGTCTCTCTAATCCTGGTAAAAATTATTGGCAAGCTGTGAAGTGGATTCTCAGATATCTTAGAGGTGCTTGTAGAGTGTACTTATACTTTGGGAGTAATGATCCTGTGTTAGATGGCTACACAGATGCATATATGATTGGTGATATTGATTCTAAAAAATATGCTTCTGGATACATAATGATTTTTGCAAGGGAAGCAATGTCTTGACAATCAAGGTTATAAAAATGTGTTCCTTTATCTACTACTGAGGTTGAGAACTCGATGTGTAACAGTCAGAGTTCAATTCATCTTGGTAAGAACTCGATGTTTCATTCCAGATCAAATCACATTGAGGTGCAGTATCATTGAATACGAGATGCATTAGAGACAAAGTTGTTTTCACTTTAGAAGATTCATATTGACGAGAATGGTTCTGATATAATGATAAAGACTCTGCTTGTAACAAAGATGATTAGCTGCAGAAAGAATGTGGACATAGTAGAGCAGCTCTTTTCCACTTGAGTCGTGAGGGGGAGGGTTTTTTGGGTGAGTTCACTCTTAAAATTTATTTAGAAAAAGAAGGGGAAAAAAGATAAAAAGAATAAAAGATTAAAAAAATATTTTTTTATGTGAATTATTTTATTTAAGCTATACACAATTGGTATGTATTTAAAAGAAAATTTTAATCCCTAAAGCAACACAACAAATAAGCAACTAAAATAAGAATTTCAAAGAATTGCAATTGATAAAAGAAAAATGCACAAGTGATAGAGGAGTGTAATAAAGCTTATAAGTTTGAGCTACAAATTCAATATGTTGTTCATATCACGTAATTAATTTTATTTATATTTTTGTCGAGTAATTTTACATTTTCTTACCATTGTTTTGCTATATCCACAATTTGTGAAGGGGTTGTTTGGAGTGATCTTACCACTTTTTTGTTTATTGATGAAGATTTTTATTTACCAATGTTATTATGAAAACTTTTGTATACTCATTAAGATAATTTTCTAATACTAAAAAATGAAGTCATTTCCTTTTAAATAAGAGAGACAGATGGCAATTGCATGTGCGAGATATGACAAATCTTGGATTGATTATGAGAAATTAACATGATACATACTTTACAGCCGGGAGGGAAATGGGTCTGTCTACTCTTCATGCATTAGCTTCTTACTTCACTACTGAATTTTCGCTTCTTGGGCCTTGCAGCCCATTACAAAAACCATAAACATAAGGATGAAGAGGTATAAAAACAAAGTATAAGAAGTGACAAGGGTAGAAACAAATGAAAGAGATAAATAAAAATCAATAAAAGAATAAGAATAGGTGAAAAGAAACAAATATTTAAATCAGTATCCCAATGTGATGTAGTGAGTCAATATGCGATTGCTTTTTATCCCAAAGATCTGATCTAGGAACTAGAGATTTCGCTACCATCATCTCTCAATAACTGGTCATGAAAGAACTGACAGGAGGTACAAATTGGATCCAGAGGAATCTCAAAGGATACCTTTCTATTGAATATTTCTTTAATCTTGATGACAAAGTAAATGGTGTGAAAGGTAATCGAATTATCTCTTATGCAATACAAAACTATGCACAATAATTTTAAGGGGTGAAGTGGCAGAAAGTAGAAACCACTATTCAAATATTTTCTTAACAGAACCTTACAACAGGGTATCACTATCATTATACAAGTAACACTGCAACACTGCGAGCAACTATTTGTTAGGTTGTAATCCAATTGACCATTGAAATGTTTCTATTTCCATTGCTTAGGTCTTGTAATCTTCAAGAGATTATACATCGGTGCTCTGTCGATGAAAAGTCTTCTTCCACCTATAGTTGTGGACTCGTGTTTCCATGCAGGTCCAATAAACCATGATGCAGCAATTCCACCAATCAAACCTCCTAACTGAAAAAGTTTATGTTAAGGGATGCGTTAGCAATAGAAAGAAACTATGCACAAGGTTACATTGGTTTTGTAACAAACACGAAATAGGAGGTTACGTTGTTTAGCCTTCGATTTCTACTAAACAAAGGAAAAGAGAAAATGAAATATAAGAGCATTAAAAAATCCATGGAGGATAACTCCTACACTTACATGTCCCCAGTTGTCTATGCCATTTGATGATAAACCAATGACCTGCACCAGAAATACTTGCCCTGTTAGAACACAGTGTCGGGAAAGAAAAATAGTAACCCCTCTATAAAGTCACATTGATATTGCGATGATTTAAGTTAAAAGCAGAAGTGACACAGGGAATGAAACATTTACCATGTTGAGGGCAATTACTTGTGCAATGTGCAGTAGGTCTTTTCTACCACCTCCTACAAGGTCTTTGTGCCTTAAAACAAAGACCGCAATGGATCCAACCTGAACCATTACAGCTCGTTAGAAATAAAGAGTGAAGAGAAAAGACCAACATCTCAGACGATGTACTTTATGATTTACGAAGAACGACTAGTTATGATAAAAGCCCATAAAACAGATGATGAAGCAAAGTTGTAACAAATGAAATTTGAGAAGAACTCACTAGTCCAAAAATTGCTCCTGACGCACCTACTGCAGGCATTTTGCAGAACCGATAACTCATAGCTGCACCTGATTTTCTAGAAATTACAGAATTAGAATACTTTCAAGGTAAGCACTTTCATCGGCTATTGTAGGAAAGAATATAAGTGGTTACTTGCAATTGAAGAAGCAAAGTAAACTGCAAGATATCTTCGAGGACCACTGAAGCTCTCCACCGTTGGACCGACTGAATTTAGGGAATAACAATTTACCTGCAGAGAATTTATAACAATGTATCTTCAATTTTCCATAGCAAACTAAACCAAACATAACAGAAAAAACTTCAAACAGCTAAATTCAAAACCTACCATAAGGTGGCCAATGTTTGCATGCAGAAAGGAAGATGTAACAAGTCTCCAAAGTTGTCCTTTGTCAATGAGACTGTTTACCTAGTAACATACATAACTAACATGTAATAATGATCCACAAAACATAACACATCTATTCAGATCAGTTTCTTACCTTTGCTCCCCACAACAAAAGGCTACCTTGGGTTGCAAATTGCGCAAAATAAACTCTGTAAACAATTAATAAATAACATAATCAATAAGCCCTCTTATCAATTGGTAACTAAGTTTACAAATAGCGGTAACATCAGCAAATGTGAGAATAGCAAGTACATGAACATCATAACAAATAATGAGGTCATAAACTTCATACACCAATTAAGTGAATATGTTCATACTCACAAAACATTGGCAGCAAGGAGAATATTTGTCAACTTCCTTCCACTAAATGGATTTTTTCGAGACATATTCGAGTCACCATTTCCAAAGTGGGCTTGAGGTCCTCCCCCATTAAAGAAAGAGAAGCTAGTTGAACATGTGGAAGTCAAACCATCACTTGAGAATTGAAGATAATTCAATCCTTTGTGATGAAGAAATCTTTGAGACCATTTGTCCTTCAATCTAAGCACGGGAGCAAGTTTCTGTTCAACAAGAGAGAGACATTTGAGTCAGGGAATGCTGCTGCAACATCCAGATTCCAGAATAAATAGAAACAATTGGTAAATTTCAAAAACACCAAAAATACAAAAACGAAGAAAGATAACTATAAAAATAAAATTCAATGGTTCCTATAACCTAAATAAGGAGAATATAACTATAAAGATATGAGTCCAATTTTTGTTTTCTTCAGTTTGTAGGAAAAAGAGGTAAGTGAAAAGGAGACCTTGAAACAGGAACGGAGTAGAAACTCAAAGCGGAGATGGTGGGAGAGACGGTGGCCGAAGTGGAGGGAGGCGGCGGTGGCTATGATATCAAGTGGGTAAGGACCGACCTTGCAAACCGGTGACAGAAATGGCTGGGGCATCAACATTTTCTTTACACTTTTCTGGTTCCACCGAATAATAAACTACTGATTTATTCTGAAGTGTTGAGCAATTAACTTCTTTAGTTGAATATTATTTTTATAAGTATTCACTATTTTATTACTTCTCCAATACTATATTTATTTTTAAGTGGCGAGATTAATAACAAAATATAATAATATTATTATTTTTAATAAATTAATTTTATTAAGGTATTTGAAGTATTACTTCTCCAATACTATATTTATTTTTAAATGGTGAGATTAATAAAAAATATAATAATATTATTATAAAATATTATATTTTTAATAAATTAATTTTATTAAGGTATTTGAAGGTACAGTCTAAAATAATAATTAAATAATATAATTAAAATATAGTAATAACTTTTATATTAAAAAGTAAAATTAACAAATATTTTAAAATGGAAAGAGTATATAAAATTTGATTATATTAAAATAGATGATATGTGGCTTAATGTCGGGGTAAGTTTCAAGTTGAGTTGAATATTCGATGTTTCAAATGAATTAATTTTTTATTAAACATGTTAATTTTTAATTTTTAATGATAAAAATATTATAAAAGAAAAGAAGGAAGTATATATCTTTACAAATATATACTTTTGCTCAAGACCGGTGTTAAAATATTAAATTTAAAAATATTATTTTATAATTTATTGTAAGAGATTTCTTTTAAAATTTTTATTTTTTTATTTTTCTATAATATCATCTTATAAATTGTTGTGAGATATATTTGTAAAAAGCTATATACTCTCTCATTCAAAAAATTTAAAATATAAAATCGTTTTATAAATAAAAATTGATTTTAAACCAATTTATAAAATAAGTTCTAAATCATTTTTAAACTCAATAGAAATCACTTTAACAATTAATTATTATTTTTTACTAAAATGAAACAAAATGTATGGCGGTTAAGAATTAACGTGAGAATAAAGTAAGTGTAGTCTTGATAAGGATGTTGCATTGTATGTGTGGTGTAGTGATATATTCGTAAAGACCTGTAAATGGTGAGGATGTTGTGGTCGCCTATAGTGGGCGACATCCTTCTACCGTATGCAATCAGGGGCAACCTTGCATTTAACGCCTCCTCTTGTCTCGTTGTTGGAAACATGGGAAAATTCATGTCTTGATTAGAGGAAATTTGCAATACCTCGTTTAAATATTTAGTCGTTTTTTGATTTTATTCGTTTAACTATTGACATTGACTTAGTTAAGGGTATATATGTAAGGGTGAGTGTGAAAACTCACTTTAACGAATTAATTGGAATAAGTCTTAGAATAATATTATGGTAATAATAATATTAATAGTGATTGAATAATTTATTATTATTATTATTATTAACGACATGAAGTAGTTATCCCTAATAATAATGGTAATATTATTATTAAAAATATGGAAAATAGAGATAATTAGAGACTAGTGGTAAAGAAGTTAGGAAGTCGGTTTACACGTGAAAAAAGAAAGGAGCCAAGAAATAAGCAGAGCTAGGGAAAGAGGAGATCAAGAGTTCCACCATTGTTAGAAAGAAATTAAGCTTGGAATTAACGTAAGAAGGGAGAATGAGTTTATTAATGGTGATTAGAACACGAGAGGGTAGTGAAGGTTCATTTTCCTCTCAGGATTTTATGCATATTCTTCTTCCTGCTTGTTTGAATTCCATATTTATGCGATTGTTGTCGTGAATTCGTGTTTGTGTACTGATATTGGTTTGATTATTCGTGTAAATGGGGGATTGTTGTTGTGTGTTACCATGAAAACGAATTTGGAGAAAAATGAGGTTTTTTTGGGGGGGTTGACAAAATTGTGATTTAAATTGTAGAAAACGTCCATAAAGTGATAATTTAATGAAGTGGAGTAAAACCATTGATGATAAACTGGTATAGGTGATGTGTTTGGTCAAAAATAGGAGCTTGAAGGTGCTCCAATGGGTGGAAAATCGCACTGATGCGAAAAATTAGTTTTTTCTGTGCAGACTGGCCATACGCGTAAGGCATGAGGCATTACGCGTATGGGGGACATTCCCAGGGGCGGTACACATATGGTACACTCTCGTCCCCATGGCCAACACGACCCCTCTGTTGTTACGCCTAAGGTACACGTAAGGGAGTGGGCATTGCGCGTATGGCAAGCCCACTACGCGTATGAGTAGTCCTTGGGAGGGTTTTGAGGGGAAATAACCCTATGGTCGTACGCGTAAGGCCTGGACATTACGCGTACCGGGCCTGGGAACCCGAGGCCCTACGTATACTGTACGCAGAGCTGGGGCGAGGAAAACAAGGCCATATGCGTATGGGGCATGGGCATAAGCATATGGGAAGGGTTGTGTGGTAAATTTTCTGTTTTCGCGATTTCTTTTCCGATTTCACGTGCGATACAGTTCCTCTTGGTTCGTAAAACTAATGTGACATAATTAGACATAAGGAAACTGGTAATGATAGTAAATATGGTAAACACATGGAATTTTTGTGTGGCTTTTATTTGATGTGTGATTGGTGCATGTGTTGATAAGATTGTTGTTATGCGGGCAGTCTTGGGCAAAGATGGTAATTCCAGAAGGAATTATGGTGAGTATGTGTCTCACGTGTGATCATTATGGATTGTGTGTTATGCATAAATGATATTTGTATTATGCATAATTGTAAGTCATGCATTTCATGTCGTGTTATGTGGAAATGAGCCTAGGTGGGAGTCCATGATGGGTGTCTAGTCTCGTCCGAACTTCATGTGGGAGTCGAGTGGAGATAAGTTGTAGTTCAGAGAAACGTATACGACTTATCCGGATTCCGACGGGAATCAAGTTCAAAGAATGAACCGTATGGACTGTGTTGGTACTGCATGCATGGTGTATTGTCAGTCGAGTCACATTGCATATATGTATGATTGAATGTGGGCTAAATATGTTGAGTGTTGATGTGGTACTTGTATGTGCGTTATGATTGTTTGATTTGTGTGAATACTACTCCTTAGCATGTGATTTTCACTGTAAATTTATTGAATGTAATTCTCACCCTTTTTCTGTTGTTGTGTCTGTGCTCCCTGGGGAGTACAGATAATCAGGTACCTGAGTAGTGCTTGGAGCATATGTTGCTATTGATCGAGTCTTAGGAGTCGCTCTAATACGTAACACGGGGGGGGGGGGGGGGGGGGATTGAGATTTATTTTAATTTTCATTTGTGTTGTTTCTATTTGTTACGTATCTTGTTTCTAATTCATGTTGAACCACAAATTTTGTGGAGTTTAATGTATTTGGAGCCTTAGTGATGTTGAAGTGAACTATTTGAATATCCCGCTATTTAATTAATTTATTTTTATGAGGAATAAAGATATGAAGTGACTTGATACTTCATGAGATTTTACGTGACGTGGCATCCTACGTGTGTAACTCTGATTTTTCCGCAAACCATTTTCTTATTTTTATTTATAAAATGTATGAGGAGAGTAGGGTGTTACAAAATTCATAGTCAACACACTAAAATGAGTCTCCCTAGGAAGTAGGGATTCAACCATGACTACTATGACTAAGTGAGCAGTAATCATTGTCGAGAGACCCTAACTTTAGGCCCATAAGTCTATATAAATATCTCATATCTAACATGAGGAAGGACAACTCGTAATATACACAAAATACCTTAAGAATGCATATCATCTCACCTAACGTGAATTTGCTCTCTCCATAGCCAAAAATGTCACCGGTTAGGGTTTCTCACCACTGTGAGCAAGCCCTAACCCACAAAAAATCACTAAGGCCTCTAACTACTGATGCAAGTTGCAAGTGCACGACAATGTGAAGTAGTATTATAGATATCGAACAACAAAAAGATGTATTTGATTATTGATTTTTATTCTAGCGGATGTGTAGCTAAAGCGGTCGAAATCTCGGTGTTTTAGTGCAAATGAAATAAAATTAGCAAAATAAAAAAGCAGGACATGGGTTACATGTTTATCTATCTCGACATTACCCAATTGACTCTCCAAAATCAAACATAAGAAAGCAGAGCTAGTTATAGAAAAGTAGATAAAATTGTATTATACCCACTTCCATAACGTGCGTACTAGACGTGTTTGTAGAGCAACTAAACAACTTTCTCAACCAAGATCGAGTCATCTTGTTAGTGGTTCCTCGAACTTGATTATTTAGCAATCCGCTCTCGGATACCGAATCATTACCTTTTATTACATGATTAGTATCTAAGTTGTCTTTACTTTCGCAACCGATACTAATATATTTAAGCACTCAAATCTTCGTTTTTATGTATCTTGTTGACATGTCAAATAATTTTCGATTGATATTAAATTTTATAAACATATTCTACATGATAATGTCTTTCAATCCAAAGATAAATTTTATTTTATGAATATGCAATAAGAGTCATTGAAGGTGTCATATTATTAAATTTGACACCTTAGTGTTATTTGTTCATAATATATATATATATATATATATATATATATATATATATATATATATATATATATATATATATATATATATATATATAATTTTAGTGAATAAACAAATGTTATTAAAAATTAAGTTAACAACCTCCTACAATGTTAGAGAGAATTTTGGTCATTATTTCAAACTTATAGCAAAAGATGTAGGAGATGAAGAGTGACACAAAAGGCATGAAGGGAAAAAAACGTATATTACTAAAATAAAAATAACCAATTCAAGAATAAATTAAATAAAAAAATAAAAACTCAAAATATATTAAAGGGGGCCGGCAGGCAATAGAGGAGTCTCTTTGGGATTGGGTTGTTGTTCCCGCATGGGCCTATCTTCTCCCCTCTTCCTCCATTTCCTAACCCTCTCGTTCCTCCACACTCTACTCACAAACTCCTCCCAGTAACCGTTTTTCTCTTTCCTCTCTTTCAATTTCCTTATCCCTTTTCAAACATGTCATCTCACGCTCTATTTCAAGCGGGGCAAATTATCCCCATGAACTCTCACATATCCCCTAAAACCTTATCGCCAAAAACCGTTCCCAAACTACCCCTGCTTCGCAACCGTCGCCGCTTTTTGGTTATTCGATCGTCGTCCGTCTCCCCCGCCGACGTCGATAGTGAGGCTTCGTCCACCTCGTCGTTTCTTGAGCGATGTTTTGCCGCACCGTCTGCTCCTCCCGCTTCGGGTAATGTTAATCCGGTTATGAAGGGAAGTAAATACGGTGCGTTTGGAGCTGTTACGCTTGAGAAATCGAAAGTTGAATTCACACAACAGCAAACCAACAAGTCTTCCCCTGAGGTTTGTGATGTTTCTTTTGTTGAATTAGGGTTTTGTTTTTCTGTTGTGCATTTCCTTCTTATTATTTATGGTTGAATTGGGGAAATAACTTTAATACTTGAATTGGCAGAATGTTTATTTCAAATTTGAATTAGTTTTTGTACTTTAATGGCTTGGGAAATTAACATAGTGATGGTACTGGAGTGAAGGAAGACGATGGGAGTTATCATTTGTAGAGAATTAATTTGGAAATTGAATTATCATCTTAAATGGTAGTTTTGTTTTGTTCGTTTCCATCAGTAGTGATGAAGAAGTGTGTTTGAAAAAATCATTGTGTTTGTATACGCGTGCTAATGTGTACATGCTTGTACTCATTTTATATGGGATGTGTTGCGTTGGCGCAACATATGCAAAACACAACAAACTTTAGATTGTGATAACTTGCCGACTGAGAAGGCGCCTGAAGTGGGATTTATTTGAATATTTTATGCGAAAACTAGGTCGTTTCTTAGGAAAGAAACACGTTGGATATGCCGTGTTGCTTTGGACGGATATACGTAAAGAATCATGGTTGCTTGCTAATTGCGAAGACACAGGATGTTAGCCGGTCTTGTTTTCTGGAACTAGATTTGAGTGAATGTTTTTTATGCAAAAAAAAAAGTTGTTTGTTTAGGAAATTACATGTGAGAAGTATTAAGACTTCTTGTTTTGTGTTACTACTTATGTAAGATAGTAATGTGGCTATTAATTTAAAATAATATTTTATTTTAGGAAAGAGTATATACATTATTATACAAATTAGCTAACATTAATATGAATTTTTAACAAATTGACTAACTACTTCGATTTCTTCATGTTTAATAAATGCCTATGTTGCGTGGTTTTTTATATGTTGGCTGATTTTTGAGTTTCCATCTTTTCTTAGTGTTCTGTGCACTTCTACCCAATTTACACAACACAACTTCAAATTATGATCTGAACTATGAACTACACTGCATGAGATACAACTATGAAATGAACTCCTATTTTGTTCCTTCCAGTTTGGAGTGCCTTATTTGTTGAAGGGAAGAGGGCTATGGGAGAGGGCAATTATGCAATAGAAATCAAATAAGCTATAGGAGAGGGTAGGAGTTAGAATCTTTGTTAGCCTCTTTGCTGCTATAAAACTAAAGAACATTAAGTGGTGGTGGGGAGGAAAGAGGGAGGAGAAAAGAATAGCCCCTGATCCACAGGACAATTGAAGGGGGAAAGGGAGGAAGTTATAAGTTGTGTTTCTCTTGGGACTTTTGGCATCAAAATTAAAAGAAACTAAAATACTTAAATAGTGAAATGAGTTACGGAAATGGAGGAAAGAGAGAGGAGAAAAGCATAGTCCTTGATCCACAGGACAAGGACAATTGAAGAGGGGAAGGGGAGGAAGTTATAAGTTGTGTTTCTCTTGGGACTTTTGGCATCAACATTAAAAAAACTAAAATACTTAAATAGTGAAATGAGTTACGGGAAATGGCTCTTCAAAGCATATCTACGTATCATGAAGGAAAAATATATAACAAAAAATGAGAGCTAATAGGAAAATAAAGCTAAAAGTGATATTAAATTTGACAACTGTATTAATTCAAAGTAGTATTTCATTTTTCAGTTCTTCAAAAAAGGGTTCTTCAAAGCATACCTATTTATCAGTAAGGAGAAATATATGACAAAAAATGAGAGCCAATTGGAAAGTAAAGCTAAAGTGATATTGAATTTGACAAATGTATTAATTCAAAGTACTATGTGAGTTTCTAGTTCTTCAAAAAAAAAGTAAATTATATTAGGAGCATATCAATTAAAATTTTAAAATGTAATACAAATCCAAATGGCATATCAACCTAGTATTCCCTGTGTATTAAAGACTCAATCAAGTAACATACTGCTTACTACACACCTGTGGCTACTCATACCATTGGAGCATTTTTGAATTATTTTCATATATTTTTTTTTCTATTTTATTTCTCTGTTTGTAAATATGAATTTCGTTTTATGCTTTATTGACAGCTAGCCACTGGGGGAGGTGGTGGAGATATTGGAAAGATAATCAGTTATGGTGGTGGTGATGGAGGTGACGACGATGGTGACGATGACGACTACTTTGATGACTTTGATGAGGGTGATGAGGGAGATGAGGGTGGATTGTTTAGGAGACGCATAATTCTTCAAGAGGTTAGACATATCATTTATGTTAATTAAGAATATGTTTGTTTCTCATTATGAAGTATATGCTATATTATCTTTTGTTGCTTTCATTTGACATTTCCTGAAGAAAATGACAGCCATTTTATCCTTCTGACAGCTATTTGATCGTAAATTTGTGGATGCTGTGTTGAGTGAATGGCAAAGGACTATTATGGATTTGCCCGCTGGATTTCGGCAAGCTTATGAAATGGTACAGTACTTTTCTAGTTATGCGTGTTTTAATGGTGAAGCATGTAGCCACATACTGACTAAAATTCTGCTTTTAGGGCTTGGTTAGCTCAGCCCAAATGGTGAAGTACTTAGCAATGAATGCCAGGCCAACCGCCAATAGGCTCATATCTAGAAAACTACCGCAAGGACTGTCAAGGGCTTTTATTGGCAGGTAGTCTCAATTATGTCTTGGTTTACTTCAAATATTTCATTCAAATAAAAGAAAAATTGACAATCTAATATCTCAAAATTTAAGCTTATGTCATTGCTTCTGTATTGTGAGTTTTCTGTTCTTTTGCTTGAATACTTTTCTTTAGTAGATGCTACAAATGAGAAGACCATTGTCCTCAGAGGAAAATCTTCTTAATGATAAAAATCAGAATTCTGATTTATGTTTTCTCCTGTAGGTGTAAGAAGAATATATATTTTGCTTACATGAATATATGAATATGATTTGTGAGACATGCTGAGAATATGAAATTGATGTCCTAAGTCTTTGACTCTTGATAATTTAGTCTGTCGTCAAATCTTAAATATTATGGAAATTGATAAACTTTCGTTCTGGAGTGTATTGTTTTCACTATTGTCATATATAAATATCTCTTTGTACAGGTTGCTTGCAGATCCTGCTTTCATGTATAGGTTTCTATTAGAGGAAGTTGCTACTATAGGCTGCTCTGTGTGGTGGGAGATTAAAAATCGGAAAGATAGGTGTGTTGTGTATTTTCAAAAGGTATGGATGCTTGTTTGGTATTGATAAATTGAATAATTCTGATTTTTTTTTTAATTATAGGATAAAGCAAGAGTGGGATCTCGCACTTATCAATGTGCTCACCGCAGCAGCATGCAATGCCGTAGTTGTTTGGTCGCTTGCTCCTTGTCGTTCATATGGAAACACATTTCAATTTGATTTACAAAATACATTGCAGAAGCTTCCAAACAACATATTTGAAATGAGCTATCCTCTTAGGGAATTCGACCTACAAAAAAGAATTCAAGCCTTTTTGTTCAAGGCTGCTGAGTTGTGCATGGTTGGTTTAGGCACGGGTGCAGTACAGGGTGCATTGTCAAGCACTTTGGCTAAGAAAAAGGAAGGAAGGTGTGCAGGGTCCAAACCAAGCTTATATTTGATAGCATTCAATTCACTGAATTTAATTGAGCAAAACAAGCTTATTTATTGGGCAAACTGACTGCTACATATACTAATTTGTCACACTTGAACTGTATTGCAGATTATCTGTGACTGTCCCAACTGTGAGCAGTAATGCACTTGGTTATGGTGCTTTTCTTGGAATATATGCTAACCTGAGATATCAACTACTCTGCGGATTTGATAGAGCAATGGTCAGTCATTTTGATGTTATTGGAGTCGCATTGTTCTTCAGCACAGCATTCAGGTATGCTTTTTCCCTTACCAAATGAGCTGTTCATTGAACTGAATCGCTCAGGCGTTATGTACTTATGTGGATGTGTTTCTGGCATTTAGTGATGACTTTGACATTTCCTCTTTTGTATTATTAGCACTTCAACATGCATTCTTTGCATCCATTATAAATTTGCTCTATCATGTATTTTCGTTTTATAATGTGTGCCCTGCATCCTGTTGAAAGGAAACAAACAATAATGGCACAAAATTTTTACAGTGATTCTGCTTTACTTGACTTCTTCAGACTCAGTTTTGAATTCTTTGTAAAGTTATCAGTAGTTTTTTTGTATAAGAAAACAATATTTGTTAAATTTTGATGTGATATATTTTGAGGATTTGCTCGAAATGTTATACAGGGTCTTGAACGTTCAATTAGGAGAGACTTCCAAGCGTGCATGGCTTGGAGTTGAGGCAGATCCATTAGCTCAGTCAGATGAGCTCTTGAAGGTTTACAACAGGACTTCTGAAAATGTAGAAAAACCATCATCATCTAAATGGTTTATATCAAAGAATGCAGTTGTTTCTGGGCTTGGGCTCTTGGGCATCAAACAAAGTAATGGGTCTGGTGCAGAATCATCAGCTCCTAAAGCTCGTCGAAAAAGGATTGTGCGGAAGAAGGTTGCTGCAGGATCTGCTTAGATTCTTCGGATGTAAACATAGTGATTGTCAAATTTTGTCTATTACTGGAGTTTGAAACTGCTGTATTGCCTGCCTTAGGTTGTGTCTGGCTGCTGCTCTTGGAGAGGATGATCAGCTACCTAAGATTTTTCGTACCATCAATTTGAGGGTTTTTTTATTATTGAATTTTTGGAGGGATTCTTGTATCGACCACACATATGTTTTCTTATCTGACCCTGTATAATATTTTGAATTTGAATAGTATTTTTTAAATAAAGTAGATTAAGTTTTTACCCCCACTAGATTGAAACACTATCATGGTCATGATTATTCATAAACAATCATCAATAAAACTCATTTTGCAGCATGGACATGTTCGACCATTAAGTTCTTCCGTAATTTATCATGAAATGGTAAAATCTTTGCAAACTATCTTATTAATAGAAGTTTAAATGTCTCTTCTTATATAATTTAGTGACGTTGATTTAAATATCAAATCAACCAATTAGATTGTCTGTTAATTTGAATCATGTTAGCTCAAAATCTGTGAGAAGTTGATCAAACAACTTTCGTATGGTAGAGTATAATGATAATGTGTTTATTAAACGAATAGAAAATATGATGATTTAAAATGAGATAAGAATAGTCTTTCATATTATATTTTAAGTTTTGATGCCTTTTTTATCTCTGCACTTCTTTTTTTTTATTAAAAAATCAATTTTGGATCTTTCTGTTCAATATTTCTTAAATTTTTTTTAAAACTTTTCAGATTTGTATAAATAAGAGTTCAATTTAGAATGACACTGACATGATAATGACCATATGATAACACGTTACACAATTTTGTCATGTTATTTTATCATATCAGTGTCACGTTATAAATTGAACTGCCACCTATACAAATATGATGAGGATGAAAAAAACTATAAAAAAAAAATTTTAAAAAGAAAAATAGAAAACAAATTTTTAAAAGGCAGTTGAAAAATTAAAAAAATCTAAGATATATTTAAACTTATGATTTTATCGGGATCCAAGATTCAATCAGCGGCTAACAACACGTGGATTATAAATTTTTCGGTGACGGAAAAGATGAGGGGGTGTACCAGCAAGACACTCTGATGCTAAAGTGAGGTTTAGAGTGAAAAGAGAAAGAGCAAGTACAGGGTGAAAGTGAATTTAAAGTACTTGACCCTCTGTTAAAGAGGGTATTTATAGTCTCCAACGCTGGACTAAAGGTCATCTGTTGTGGGATGAATCGTTAGGTCTACCACGGATGACAGCCAGGATCCTACATGAATGAATATCAGCATGTGGTCTTCGTCCTGAGTTAACTGCTCGCGAATTTTGGGAGGTTGACAACTTTCCCGTTACGAAGGGCAAAACGTTTCCACGAGAAATGCGGGATCAGCTGGCCATATGTCCTCAGGTGAGAATCGTGTGAGGAGCGCATGGAGAACGTGCCCTCAAGCGGCTATGATGGATTGGACCTGTGTTAGGCCTTCTTCGACGCAGAGCTGGACTGGGTTGTGCCTGCCGGTGGGCCAGCCCCAGACCCAGTCCAAAATAGAAGCCCCCAAGTCGTTGCTCCAAGGCAGGTGAGTAATGACTTAAAGTCAGTTCGCATGTCGAAGAGGGGTGAAGGAGAGTCGCGCGAGGAGAGTGTTGTGTTCAGGTTCTGGCTCGCGAGAGAGCGTAAAAGTTTTTCGTCGAGTTTCTGTTCGCAAAGAGCGCTGGTCAAATCTTGTGCTCGACGATCCGAGCTTGCTTCGAATTTATCGTCTAGGTCGTGTGTTTGCGAGGACGCCAAAGTGTTTGGTTTTGCTCAACGGCATGACTTGTGTCAAGCCTCTCCCCGTGGACGTGCTCGCGAGAGGAAAACTTAGCCTGTTATGCCCGACAAGTTGAAATCTGTAGTGTTGAGGGGACTTGAAGGGACGGATGCGCTGTGTCCTCGCGCCATGCGTCAGAAGCATTAAATGCCTACGACTACCTATGAGTAGGGGTAGTCGATGGCTAGGCGATGATTTGTTTTCCGTGCCAGAGATTATAAGTAGGAGGGAGTGGGATTCATTTGGCACACTCGTTGTACTCCCAAGTTCCCCACGAATTTCTTTGCTTCCTCCAACGTTCGCTCACTGCCGTCGTCGCCTTCATCAGCCGTCTTCCGCCATCGTAGATTTCAGGAATCCTCTTCAACCAAGTAAGTTTCAGTTGCCTTTCTTAGTTTACATGGTAGTGGTTAGCTTTACAGGGTAGCTTTAGGGCTCAGTTGGCAGTGGTTCTCTCATCCTCAACCGCCGACATCCGTCGAAATTCGAGTAAGAAATAGGCGAATCGAGCGTCTTTGGCGACACTGATGGACTTCGCGATAAAGTTATGCGTTTTTCAGCCAGAACTATAAATTTCCCAGTGACATTCATGAACTTCCGATGAATCTTATGGAGTTTCAATGAAGTTTTTGAGGAACTCATGAAGTTTTTGATGAACTCATGAAGTTTTCGATGAAGCTCATGGAGTTTTTGAGCTCCCGTTGGGCTAGTGTCGAGGAGACTTTCTCTTCACAGGGGTGTAGAAACTCTATGAAGAAGTCTCGTGTCGAGGAGGCTCTTCCCTGTGTAGGTTCTTATGAAGAAATCTTGTGTCGAAGAGGCCTTTCCTCGTGAATACTCTGAGGTTTCTCTAAAGGGATTCGTGTCGAGGAGCGAGTCCTCGCGGTCTCCGCGCTTGCCATTTGAACAAAAGGGCTTTGGCCGGGAGTATGTCCACGCGTCCCTCCTCGCTCTTTCACTTGATTTGTAGTGGAATAATGGATTTGATTTAATCGTCGAATTCACTATCTTCCTCTGCTTTTTAGGTTAAAATGGCTCGTCATGTCGAGGAATCATATTTGGTCGATACCATCACTGATAAATACCTACAATGGGTCGAAGTAGAACCTCGCAGGATCGCTTCGCCGATGACCCTTAGGATGCCTTTGTCTTCATCTCGAAGTTGGAGCACCCTGACGCTCCGGAGAGCTGGGAAGTATACAAACCCAGAAAGACGAAGCAGATCTATTCAACCTTCAAGGAATATTGCTTCGTGATGTATGAGTTTGCTTTCAAGGAAGCGGGGTTAGGTTTGTCGTTCAGGGATTTTGAGACGGGGTGTAACACCCCAAATCTAGACTTGCGGATAACAAAAAAAAAGCAACAATTCATATAGCAAACAAAGCGCAGCAGCGCAACCTTGACTGCATGACGGTCGTCATGAGCCTGTGACGGTCGTCACACGGGGAAAATCCCTCATCTCAGAGATGTTACACTTCAACCTGACAGACAACAATCATTATGCAACAACTTGCAAATATCATACGTAGCACGAAATTGGATGAACAATCACCAGTACATTACTTAACCATTTAATCATAAAACAACTCGTCATTACTTCCGGTGGAAGTTCGATAAAGTATACAACATGTTCTCTTAAAACAATCTAATAAAAACATCGTAACAAGTTCAATCAACAATAACATCGACTAAAATAATAACAGCAATCGTCCATCCCCCCAAGAGTGCTACGTATCAGAGCGACCAACGACACCTTAACAGGAACTACGCTCTATTCCTGACTACCTGCAAATTACCACCAGAGGAGGTAACATACAACGGAAAAGGGTGAGATATCAATAATATAACATAAAGCATGATAGAAAACATGCCAGAAACTCATCACATCATTATAGGTTTCGAAATCATAAACTTCATCGACAACAACTGCGAGTAATCCATATCTCACATAAACAACATTAACATACAACTAGCGTAATTATGCGACTTCATGCGACTCAACAATGCGACTCGACTGTGCATATGCATGTGGTACCATTTAGGAGCCAACACTCTAAAACTCGGGACAGGGCCAACACCCCGAACCCATCTAGGAGCCAACACTCCAAAACTCGGGACAGGGCCAACACCCCGAACCCATCTAGGAGCCAACACTCCAAATAACGCCAATACAGGCACAACCGTCGCCAATCCAGGCCAAATGCTATGCCATGAAATGCATCTATTATGGACTACAACACAACCATAGAAACCATATAACAAGGCATTACGCCTACAACCAGAATGTCCATAACAGAGCATCATAACATCATACCACTCATACAACCATCACTTTCTACCCGTTCACATACGGGAACAATAGCTACATAGTTTCAACATTTACGACTGTTCATGTAAAGGAACATTACAACATTGTACCAACAAATAGGAACTCAAAGTGTTCATATAAAACGGCTATTCCTATACAGGTATAACATCAACATCAGTTCAACAATTAATCTTTAACATCTTATCGTAATAACAACATCACGGCATTTTCTTACATAATTAATTACAAATCAATCACAACCAGGTAACTGTCCTTTTTGGCCCATTAGGGAAAACCATTAGAGCGTTGTACGAATAACTGTATAGCATATTCGTTCTACGTATTTTCCCATAAGGAAAACCTTAGAGCATTGCACTAAAAACTACATAACACATTCATTCCTACATAAAAATCTTGTCCCATTAGGGAAACCTTTTCCTTAACATTTATCGATTAACTAAAACTATACCTATGACTCGATTCCCCACATGAATTCGATCATACCCACGGTTATAGAATTGAACCCCACCCTTACCTTAGAATTGAGGTCAATTCCACGCTCTCCGGTTCCGCTTCCGCTCTACGGTGACTTTTCTGCAGAAATCCTCCAAATTCGCCGGTGGTTGATTCTTTGCTCTTAACTTTCCTCAGTGCGTAACTTCTCTTTCCAGTCTTTCTTTTCCCCAAATGGTGTAATTGATGGTAAAAGAGTCTATGGGAATGTATTTTTGTGACCCACTCTCAGCCACGTCCAAATTCTGCATTTAACTGAATTTCGTTACTATGACGGTCGTGGCAAGTCCATGACGAGCGTCACGGTCGTGACGGTCGTGGCAAGTCCATGAAGGTCATCATATCAGAAGTATTCAATTTTTTTCTAGATA